TGACGCACCCTCATTAAACAGCGGGGAAAGCAGAGAAGCGCGAAAAGCAACAACAACAGTAGAAACGGGAAAAACAGAAAAAATGGAAAACGGCCGCCTCATCATCTTGCCCCTCCTGCCGTTCCCACGCGCTTCTTTTAAGAAACTGTTAGAACATTCGGGCGTTTCGCGTTTTTCCTATTTCTCGTGCTTCGCGTTGTCAAGAGGTTCGCCCTTCCCCGCGCGTGTCTTGCTCTACGTTTCGCGCTGTTCGCACTGTTATACTGTCTGACTTCTCGCAACGCTTCGGGCAATTACTACTCATCGTACTTTTCTACTTCTCTACGTTTCGCGTTTGTTTCGCAATGTTCTACTCTTCGTCGTTTTCGCACTTGTCGCATTTTTGTAATCTTCGCGTTTTTCGCGCTTGTCGTACTCTTCGCACTTTTCGTGCTTTTCGCACTTGTCGCACTTTTCGCATTGTCGCACGTTCCGAACTCTTCGCGTTTTTCGCACTTCTCTACTTTTCTACTGTTCACATTTTTCGTACTTTTCGCACTTTTCCACTTTTCGCATACTTCCCCGGTTGTTGGAAACGCTTAGATAGCCGGCTTAGGAAAAGGAGGGAGGCGGAGGAGGAGGAGGAGGAGGCGAAGGGGGAGAGGGATGGGGAGGGAGGAGAAGGAGGAGAAGGAAGCGGAGGAGGGCAGTGATGAAGAGGACGCCGACGACGCCATCACGTCAAACCGCATCTGCCAAAACTGTGAATCTTGCCCGCTCCCCCCCTCGCCAGGCAGCAAGGCAGCCGTGCTCATTTTAGACGCCAAGGCCGCCTGGCTGGCGCGCGCGCCCCGCCACCGGGCGGCACTCTTGGGGCCGCCGCGGCTCCAGGGCGATCGCTCGGGACCGCCTGGGCGACGAATGAAACAGAGCCGACTGCGCCGACGTTCGCGCGCGAGGAAGATCCCGCGCACGCAAGGTCGCGCAAAAACGCCCTCTTCTCCGCGCGACGTGCCCCATTGGGCCGGTCCCCGGGTGGTTTTCGGGCCTGCAAGGGGCTGCAACGAGCGTCTACTAGCAAGCGTGCTTACTCTCGGCTGTTTCAGGGAGATTCTGGAACATCCATTGCTTCGATTTCTTGGGCGTCCAGGTCTGCGTGGTCGAGCTCGACCTGATCGAGCGCTGGCTCGATGTCAGCGTCAGTGTGGCTGGCGGTCGGGCGCGAGGCGAAAAGGCCTTTCCTGCTGAAGCAAGGCCCGGCTCCCCCAAAGCTGAGGCAAGGCCCGGCCCCCCCGACAGGGGCGGCGTCGACGACCGTGGTTCACATCCGTCGACTTCGGGCGGCTGTTTCAAGGAGGTCCTAGAAACTCCATTGCAACGTCTTCTTGGGCGTCCAAATCTGCGTGGTCGAGCTCGACCTGATCGAGCGCTGGCTCGACGTCAGCGTTGAAGTGGCTGGCGGTCGGGCGCGAGGCGAAAAGGCGCGGCTGCGGGCGGGCACTGGCGGGCGCGGAGCAGGCACGAGAGGGGGGCCTAAGGGGATAAGGGAACTTCGGGTGTCCGCGGACTTCCATTCCTAAGTGCACCGTGCAACTGGAGGAGCTGGAAGGGAGTGACTGGCCACGCACGAACGCATCAGGGCGGATCATACTCATTCCTGCTGTGGCGTGTCCACCCATGTCCCAAGCTCCTCCTCGAGCCATCCTGGCGGCGCCACTCCGGTCATCACTTCGCCTATGCCCTCGGAACGTAACGACGCCAGGACCTCGCTGTGGAGGCTGAAGCTGTTCACGGAAAGTTGGAGCTTCACGTATTTCTTCTTGTCGTGGCACGGCTCGACCTGAATGAAGGCGATGCTGTCCTCGATGTCGCTCTTCGTGATCGTGGCTGCCGTTTCGTCCGCTGGCTGTACTTTCTCGAGCCACGCGGTCAGGCTGCTGCAGAACGCTCCGCCCACGTCTGCTACCGCCAGGGTCTCTATCATGACGACTGCGAACGAGGCCGTGGGGGGAAGGGCGAATGTGGCGAGCTTGGTCTTGTCGGAACGGCGCAGCGACTCGAACTCGTCCTTGTATGCCTCGAGCTCGTCCGCGAGGTTGGTGGTCATTGGGTGGTCGACTGGAAACTGGACCGTGTCGATCGTGCACCAAAAGAGCACGGCCTCGAGGTCAACCGCCGCGGCTGCAACTTGGCCGCGGCGATCAGCTCGCGCAGGACCCTGACGCAGTTGGCATCGATGGCGCCCGTGGCGTCAGCACCACCCTCTGGGGCGCTGGGGGGCCACCGAAGGTGGGGCCAAGCCGACCCAGGCTTCCGACGCCGTGATTTTGTTCACCACGTGGACCCCCAGAGATCTGGACCCCTTCCCTGGGCAGGCTTCTCATCGCACCGCATCGCCAGCGGCACGAGAGCTGCCTGAACTATCACGCAGCGCCTTCACACCTCGCGGCAAGCTTCTGGACGCCTGCTGTTAAAAGTGTGGCCGAAAGAAATGTGTCCCACTATGCGACAACACTCAAGATGTCGCGTGGCAGCCCGCTCTTCATCCCGAATTGCTTTTGACCGTACGCCCGCCGGGTTGCTCTCGGGGAAGCCAGGCCCAGCCCGAGGCCCTTGCGCGCCGCCGGGACCAGGGAGGCTATCCTGCTGGCCGCCCCAGTGGGCACGGGGCCGTCTGGCGCTGCGGGCTGCGCCCGCGCCCCGTGCTGCGTCGGCAGTTCAGCAAAACGCTGGAGTGCTGCAGGGGCCCGCCTGGAGCCACGGGGCGACGCGGCCACTCGGCCTTTCTGCCCAGGCCGTCGATGGCGACGGCACGACCGCAACCGAACCGACGGCGGAACTGAAGCCGGCCGCAGCCGACAAGGCGCAGCAGCGGCACGGAGCAACCGACCGCATGGAGCCGACCGGACGCAGCCGACCGCGACGCCGCCGCGAGGCGACCGGACCGCGGACACCCTCGACCGCAGCCCCTCGCTGGCCACGCGCGGTACGGCCTGGGGGTCGAGCACCCTGGGCAGCACGCGTGGTTTCCCCAAAGATGGGGTCCTCAGGGATGGGGTCCTAGGAAAGGATCCATGGGTGGATTTACATTGTTTGGGACCCCAACTTTGAACCACCGAACGAGGGCTCGGGTCAGAAAGGCCTCCGGCCGAGCCGGCCGTGGCCGCCGACTGGCAGGCGGGGCGAGGGGTGAGGGGGGCGGTGGGTGGGGGGCAACGAGGGAGGGATGAGGACGGGGGAGGGGGAGGATCAGGGGCAGTGCAGCTTGAGGAGGGATGTGGGGGTAAGACTTGAGGCAGTATAGAGCGCGGGGCCTGCAGCTGGGAGGCGGGGCAAGAGGCATGCGCATGGGGCAACGGCATGTTGAGCCGCGGGGGCCTCACGAGCCGATCGTGACCGTGGTGCCTCACGCTCGGCACAAGGGCATCTTCCTCGTCCGCCTCCGCCTCCGCCTCCGCCTCCGCCTCCTCCTCCTACTCCTCCTCCTCCTCCATTCCGTCTCCTTATGAATAGCTTCTCGTCGCACCCCGAGTCCAGTGTTTCGAGCGGGCCGGGCGTGTCGCCCGAGACTTCCTCACCATTTAATCATGACCCTGAAGCTAAAACATTGGCAAGAGCTTCTCAGATGGAAGGCGGGTGGTTTTCAAGATGTGGCTCTCGCCCTAGCGCCGCGCACATTCGTTTCAAAAAATTGCAAGAACTTCACGGGTTGAGGGCGGGTCGTTTTCAAAATGTGGCTCTCGCCTTAGCGCCGCGCACATTGGCTTCAAACAAATGCAAGAATTTTACGGATCGAGGGCGGTTCCTTTTCACAACGTGGCTCTCGCCTTAGCACCGCGCACATTCGTTTTAACAATTCGCAGGAGTTTCACGGATTCCCATGATCAGCGTACCAAGCATTGCGTTTTGGAAAGACTCAGGACTATGATGGTGCTACAGTTATGCTGGTTCGCGGTGTTGAAATCCCAGGAATGGCGATCTGGCACGATTCAGGATCGTCAAGACGCAACAGTCAGGTTGCTCCGTGGCGTTGGAGTCCCGAGAAGAATGCTTTGGCATGCGTCAAGGTCTTCAAGCGGTTCTTCCACCGAGGCAATTCCTGTGGAAATGAACCGTTGTAGGGGCCCATGCAGAGGGAGCTTGGAGGGAGGGCCTCTTCCAACACCGTTGATGACTCTTGGGTTTGCACTGGCCTCCTCCTCCTCCTCCTCCTCCTCCTCCTCCTCCTCCTCCTCCTCCTCCCTCACCCCTCTGATCCTCGTCGGGCCGCAAGGCCTCCAGACCTCGCCTCCCTCCTCTCCCCCGCCCCTCCTCCTCGCACTCCTCGTCCCCCTCCTCAGTCCGCGGCCCCGGCACGAACTCCGTCTTACCCAGGTCAAGCGTCCGCGGGGGCCGGGCGCATCGGCCCGCCCGGAGGTCCGCGCGCCAAGACGGGGGGGGCGTGCCCATCGAAAGGGTTTTTCTAAGCAACCATGTGGGGAGCGACAGCCAACCTGGGAACCGGCGACGGGGCACATCCCCCCCCAAAAAAACAGCAGGCAGCGAGGGGGGAGCTCTTTTTCTCATCGATTGTGCTCCACGTCATCTCCCTTCTCCCGCCTTGGAGCGTTGACTGGGAACGTGACGCCAGAAGTTGACTGGGAACGTGTTCGCCCTCCGCCGCCTCCACCGTGTCCTCCTCGTCCTCCTCCTCGTCCTCGTCCTCGTCCTCCTCCCCCTCCTCCTCCTCCTCCTCGTCCTCCTCCTCCTCGTCCTCCTCCTCCTCCTCCTCCTCCCCTGCCTCCTCCCCTGCCTCCTCCCTCCCTCCCTCCCTCCCTCTCTCCTCCTCTTCCTCCTCTCTCCTCCTCCTCCTCCTCCTCTCCTCCTCCTCCTCCTCCTCCCTCCCTCCTCCCTCCCTCCTCCCTCCCTCCCCCCTCCTCCCTCCTCCCTCCTTCCTCCCTCCCTCCCTCCCTCTCCTCCTCCTCCTCCTCCTTCGCATCCTCCTTCTCCTCCTCCTCCTTCGAAAGAGGCATGTGCTGCGTGGCTCACTTTTGGGTATGTAGGGCTCACCTCCTGATCAAAGCAACCCGCTTGGGCATTGTTTCGGGATGGGCTGGTGGGAATGCGCGAAGCGCCAAGAGCCATCGTGAACCGATCGGACCAAGTTCGACACGCGGCTGCCCCCCTGCCTGGCGCGTGAAGCGGGTCGAACTGCCCAACCGATCCAGCCACGACACCTAACCTGCCTGCACTGGCAGAACGGACTGCTCTTCAAACGATCAACCCTAAATCCAATCCGCCCATCGATCAGCGACCGCATCGGATCAATCCGCTGGATTGCCACTGGGCGGTGGCACGTGAGAACCGTGCTCACAATCCTAGTTTGACGACACCCCAGATAACGTCTCTGATTCCATCGGAACTACAACTAATTGCGCCAACCGATCAACATTTGTGCACACAACACGCATCTACGTCGACATCTGGCGCCTCGCATCATCACCCGTCATGCACAGTCTTGGAATGAACACCGCTTCCCTCAGACGACACCTCTATCGCGTTCTCCTGGAATCATGCGAGCCAGCGTCCAAAGAGGACGAGGGAAAAGGATGCGAAAGGATGTAAGATGACGAGGTGGACTAACAAGCTTGACACTCATACACATACAGCATGGATAGCATACGTGGTATACCCGCCCACAGCAGAAGCAATGCAAACCAAGACGTGGTTGGTACTAAGCGGCGGACCCACGTTCTGGAGCGATGTTTATTGCCGAAGGAGGATTGGGATAATGAGAAGGGACGTAAAAGAAATTAACATGATGAGACTGGATCTGCGCAAGGTCGTGTTCCAATTTGGTAGCCTCGGGGATGAAATAACCATACGGGATTCCTGGCGATCAAATGTCCAGGCGCAAAAGAAAGGAGGACACGTCTGCTGGCAGCTGATTGCCATGACGAAGACCACTGTTTGATCCTCCTGTCTGTCTCACGCAGATTTGAAAGATGGTCTGACGTCAGTCTACTCATACCGGCGACGACACATGATAATACACTGATGTCCGAAACGGTGCCGCTCAATCATAACAATCAGCCATGATGATTAGTAGGTGGATGCTGCATGAGAGAATTTATTTCACAAACAGCTATCCTGTATTACGCATGCAAAGTGTCCGAGCGTGAGGTCCACTGGTTTCGATAAGGCCTTGCTGAGCTTCTTGGCGAAATTGAACTCAGCAGTGGAATCCGGCTTGCCAGGTATAAGCATTCCAGCTGCCCATGAAGGAGGGTTAGCAACATGTTCATTCCTTCTCCCCTCCTCCCCCCCATCACGAAATAGACTGTCGTACCCATCCCTTCGCTCCCTGATCCTAACTGCAGCAGCTGCACTCGGCCCTCTTAGGACCTTGATTGCGTCGCACTCCGGCGGTGCAATACGCATTCTTGAAGTTCGCTAGCTGTGGTGCGCCTGGCTTCACGCTGCGAGAGCTGGGTTATAGCGATTAAGCAGCGCGCCCGAGGTTCGCCTGATCCAGAAGTCGTTTGACTGTAACGCTGGTGACCGACGTCGTTGCTCACGAATTTTCACCGCGTCAGGGGTGGTACACCTCTTATTGTGGAGGCGAACCAACACCATGGCCCAAGCCAGCAGGGGCCCAAAGGGAAACGCAGCCTGCACACTCCGTCTCAACTATCCTCCCCCTCTCGTTCATTTGCGGGGGAACGGCAGGGCAAGACTGGCTCAGGGGGAGTTTGAAAGGGGTTGGGGGGCCCAACCAGCAGCTTCGCCTTAGGCGAAGCCCAGCTCCCGCTCTGTTGTACCGTAGTAACGATAGTCCCAGCAGTAGGGGGCGAGCCATCTCAAGCAGTTTTGGTCTCGATGGCAAATGGTTCACCTCGCGCTGAGGTGTAGTCAGATCTGGGTGGCTGGCCGCATTGAGCCAAGCAGCCGCGGATGCACGCTTCTTCCCACTCACATGCAACGCCCAGCTCACTTTAGAGTCGGGGGCAGGGAGACGAGGCGTGAACCCGCCGCCTCTATACAGCAGGTACAGCAGCGACTATTTACAAAAAGGGCAGCAAAAGGGCGGGGCCGTAAGGAAGGTGGACCCGCACGCAAGTTGCGTTGCCTGCACTACACTGTGCATACGAATACTCCTCAGGCGGCTACAGAACGAGATGTCTGGCCAGCCCGATAGGAAGTATGACGCTTTGAATCATGTTTGAAGGACTGTGTACCTCCCATGACCTGTGGGACCATTTCTCTGTCGATGCTTCCCTTGGTGTGACCGTCCGCGCTCATATCGCGGGTGTCGCACCACTGGATACTGTGCACGATTCCTCGCTCCATCATCTGTCGTATCCAGCTGATGTGTCCTAAAAGGGTACACGCAGTCGGCTTCTTCAAGTCTTTGCTTGACAAGGACAAAAAAAAACAGTCTCAGCATCCATGGTCAAAGTGGCCATGATGCTCAGGCCACCCAACTCAAGCGTCTTTCAACTGAGAGGGAGTTAGCGGACCTGCGTGGACCTCGTGCAGAGTCACGATCGTGGGGTTGCAGTCCTCCAAGTTGTGGACAGCTGATAGTCTCTGATGAATAGCTCGAGCGGACCTGCAAGCGGTGAGATTTGCAGCGCGCATCGATCGAGTGAACGACGGGCTTACCAAATGGCGTGCTTCCACGCCGTAGCAGGTTTGCCCCGCGAATACCATAGCCATTGACTTCGTCATCGGCGTCTCCACTCAAACGTCGGTAACCTGAGTCGCTGCGCAGGTCAACCTCGCCCGTAGGGGCCATCGCCTGGTAGACGATCTTCTTAAGGCAGGCCTGCAGTTCCCTGGTAATCGCGCTCAGTCGTCGCACTTGTGTATTGGTCGGTTCTTGGACACTTTGTAAAGAAACAGCATGCATCATCAACCGCACCTGGGTGATTAATGCATGCGCCAGCGCGCCTCTAAGGCTGACAAACATGTCTGCAACCATCTTGGATGTCCGAGCGTCAGCGCCGACGCCGGTAAGTTCAGGGTGTTGTATAGGACGGAGCTGCTTGATGTGTTCGTCTTGGTCCAAAGTAGCACTGCCGTCCTCGTCCTTGGTATATATCGCAGCACAATGGGTGCACGTGTGCTAGTTGAGTCTACACTTGCCACAGGGGTCTTCCACGCACTTGCCATGCTTGTCAATGATGTCCTCAGTGACGGCCATTTGGATATAATCAACATGTTTGGCCGCAAGCAGGTTACTGCTCGTCTCGAACTCCTCGTCGTAGGACGTGGGTTTGAGACCAAAACCTCTTGTGATCCTTCTGGGCTTTAGTGAGAAAGCTCGGGGTGCGTCTTTGGTGCCAGTGCCTGGCTTAAGGCGCTGCAAGCAGTGCTTCGACTCGTCGTCGCGTTCGAATCCTGGGAGAGTGCGAAGCACCGTAGCCCATCCGGGCGGCGAAGTAAAACGCACCACGCGTTCCTTCTCACCAGTTGCCTCAGCAAGTTCCTGGCAGGTCAACCCTTTCAGGAAGGCCATGTTGGTGTCGAGGGAGGCAATGATCCATTGCTTCTTGCACGCTGCCGTGCTCGCGAGTAGTCTCTGGCTTGGCCGCCGCGCTGTTCCCGAAAAAGGTCATCGCGTCAAAGGCTTCAAGATCCATGAAGCATCGAAGCGCCAAGCGTAATCTGATGGCGCGTTCCATGTCGCCCTTCTCGTTCTTCGCAGGCTTCCATGTGTGCACATACCTCGAAGTCATGCTGTCTGGCGCTATAGATATGTCACGCAGTTTTATACACTTGTTGTCAAAACATGTCTTGAGTTCAGTGTAGAGGGCTTTCGACACTTTCTCGGGGCTCGCCTGGATGTCAACCTTCGCGAAGAGGTTGTCTTCCTTGACGACCGCAGCTCGCTTTGCAGCGGCGGCAACATATACTCGCGCGGTGGTCACGCGGCCGGCATCAAATATCACGTTCTGTTGTTCGGACTGGACTACCTTTGACATTTCTGCCGTAAAACAGAGTTCTACATATTGTCCATTTTCGCATGAGTCCAGTCCGTAACTGCAATCTTCGACCGTGGACCACAGTGGGACATGATACGTCTCCTCGATGTCGGAGTCGTGCGGGTGCCCCCACATAGGCAAGTGTCCCCGCTGTTCTTCAGCTACAGTGATCAGCGCACTCTTGTCTTGAATCATCTGCGTGGGTACTGTGAAAAGATCCTCTAGTGGAGTTGCCTCCAATAGTTCCCTGTCTTTCTGTAGTTCTGTGTACCGCACTTCCATAATGTGTGCCTCGAGGTCAGCCTCCGATTCCTCATAAATCGTAGGAAGTCGCCCATCCTCCTGTGGTGGTTCGGCTTCTGAGGCTTCTCTTGCAGATCCATCCGGTGTCGGTGCGTCCGCCAATTCCTCCAAACTTTGCCATATTCCGGTCAGAGCCTGCTTGAGATTTGGTGGACTTCAGGCACTGGATGATTCTAGAATGTGCTGGTCCAGTTATACAGTGCATGTTAAGAGCGGTGCCTTCTGCTTCATACTAATGAAATCCTGGCTTGGCATCGTTGTCAGTGGGCCAACGTGCAGCTGTCAGCGCAAGCAACCGGAGGTAACCTATATATATATATATATATATATATATATACTCTTGGCTAACCTGGCCGAAACTACGTTCTCAATGCGGAAAAAGTTTCTGATAAGGTATTGCACGAGCAAGTGTACCTTAGGAGATAGTCGGCTTGCACTTGTCATCTGAAGCATCCCCTTCTTGGTCGGGACATAGCCAACTGTCATAGCAGGTCTCCCCGCAGGTAAACTGGCCACGAACGTCAACGCTGTCCGCAATGCAACGTTGTCGGAGCCACTTCTCTGGCCATCAGAGCTTCACTATAGAGCGAATGTCGTGCATCGCCGTATTGTACCTGCACGTCGCGGTTTCCCACTCGAAAGATGACTTGCCACTCTCGGGATCGTTGCTTACGACTTGGAATGGGCCATTCCAGCCTCCCCAATCGTCCGTCGTGGTTGTGTGGCGATGGAAATCAACTAGATCTCCTTCCTCATAACCATGAAGACCGGTGACAGATGCCTTAGTGCGCAATGCACGATTGGTCGTGGTTGCTGCAGTGGCCTGCGTGATAGATTCAATGCGTACTTTGTGTATCATCTGTTCACGAGAATGATCCGACGTTTCCGTCGGCTGTTCGTGATCCAGGATAGGCAAGTCAGGGAGCATTGCCGGCTGCCGTCCAAACATGGTGTTGTATGGAGACACCTCATTATAGAAGGTGAATGCGCTGGCGGTAAACAAGGCCTCATGCAGTATTCGTGTGAACACAAGACGTATGTCTAACCTGTTGAATTCAGCTTCCATGGCATGAAGTAGATGGCGCAATATGCCACTTCTGGCTTCGATCGTCGTGGCGTGTTGTCCACGCGCACGCATCCTTAGCTCAGTGCCCTTTGCCTTGAGGACTGCTTTCGCAGTGTCGTTGTTGAGGGCGCGCTCTCCATGGGAGTAGAGTACCTTCGCAAGTCCAAACTGCATCCAGCACTGATGGTATGCATCCAGGATACTGGTCATCGTCCTTTCTGGTATCTCCATTCCAGTACCATATCGAATGCAACGACCGATGATATGAAATATCATATGATCTTGTTTGTAGAACATAAAATCACATTCAACTTCTTCGCTGTGGCATAACCGTATGCCCATGCTTGTCCCAAGCCCTGCGCTCCCGACATGTGTCGCAGACACCTTTAATCAGGTTGAGTCTGACGTTGTCCACCTGCCTTGGTTAAGACGAGTCTCATCTTAGGTTCTTTCGCATGAAACCAACGCAAGTGGAGCTTCCGCAGCTCGCGTGTTACCACGCTTGGGTCAAAGCTTCGTAAGTTTTGTAGACTGATTTGTACGTCGAACCTTGACCAGTCTGGAAGTCGTGGTCGTGCCGCAGGGTTACCCGCCCGTGGCGGTGGAGGTGAATCTCCTCCTTGCTGTCGGCCACGTCTGACTCTGACCTGTGGCAGTCGGATGTGGCCATCCGACTCCCCGCTCCATTCGATGCAGATTGCCCGGCAGCAGGTTCAGCAGCATGTCTGCCTACTGTAATGTCGTGGCTGCTGGCGCCCGTCGTGGGTCCGGCCCTAGAGCCGGGTCTTGGTGCTCGTAGCCGTGCAAGTGGCGGTGCGGCTTGCGCCTCGGGTGGGGGTGCTGCTGGATCGGCAGAAGCCGGTGGTGCCTGTCCGTGATTGTCAGGCAGCTTCCAAGGTCTGGCAAGCTTGCATTT